AGGACACTGGACAGGGTTACCTACCCAGACTGGGGGGCCACTGTAGCCCAGCTGCTCCCAGCAGGGGTCCCCCCACAGGCTTAAGGCAGTGCTGGGGAGCCCCACCATGGCTGCAGGGTCCTGGCTGACCCCACACCCTCTCTTTGGGGGTGCATAGGGGTGGGGGGGTTATAGGGGTTCTACTCAGCCTACTCCATCGGTCCCCTCAGCACAGAGCAGAAAGGGGTGGGGGAGGTGGTCTCAGGCCCAGTAGGGTCGGGGGTCCACCAGGCTCTGTCCCCTTAGCCCACACAGATGGCCGACCAGCCCCAGACTTCCACACACAGGCTTCAGCCCCACACTGCTCCCCGTGTTCCTGTATCCGCCCACAGCGCTCATCTTTTACCTGCCCCGCTCCTACCAACCCCCACCCCAGCCCCACCTGCCGCCTTACCAGAACACAAGCCCCCAGGACTCCACCCTTGATGCCAACTCCACCACTGCCCAGGCCGGCAGCACGACACCCAGCCCACCGGCACCCACAGCAGAGAGCCGGTCTGCGTGGGACCTGCACACACTGGCCACTAGCCCGGGGAAGCGCATCCCTGTCCCTGCCACACCCGTGCCATCCCTCCCCCTGCAGCTGCACTGGCAGCACCCGCCCCACAGCTCAGAGAACCTGTTGCCCAGAAGGGACAAACCAAGGTTGGTACACACACCCACACGCCTACTCCATACACACACACACATACACATACACACCACACTCACCCCACACATACGCCACACACCCACACCCACTCCATACACACACAAACGCATACACAGCCCACACCCCATACATAAACACACACCACACTTAGCACATACACACACAGATACACATACACACCACACCATACACCCCATACATAAACACACACATAAACCACACTTAGCACATACATACACAGGTACACACATGCTCCATACACACACACACACACACACAAATACACACCACACACATACACCCCATACATAAACACACACACCACACTTAGCACACACATACACAGATACACATACACACCACACACATACACCCCATACATAAACACACACAGCACACTTAGCACATACATACACAGGTACACACACACACACACACACAGGAGGGACCACCCCTGCATCGCTCAGAGGCCATGCCAGGGCCCCGGGCAGATCTGGAGGGCACCCTGCCAAGTGAGGCTGTTAGTCCCCAGAGGCTCAAGGTGAGACCACTGACACGGAAGTTCATGATAAGAGGTGCTCATGATAAGAGGTGCCCACGCCACAGGAAATGGATTTTGATGGTTCCCAGGGCGGGAGGGGAGGGCGTGATAGGCTGGAGGGCAGATAGGTGTCCTCTTGGGTGAGAGTCAAAGACAGACAGACACACTGCTGCTGGCACGCTGCTCCAACTCACAGCGTTCTCGGGAGGGTGTCCGAGCCCACAGCCTCACTTTCTCCTGCCAAGCGGCC